CAAAGCACACCACACACCACTTCTTCTTCTCTGCTTAAACATTTGTGTTGTGGTAGCAGTGGTCATGTGACCTGTAGCTCCTTTAACTGCTGTAGCTCCTGTAGCTCCAGTAGCTTCTATAGCTCGTTAGCTCCTGTAGCTCCTGTAGCTTCTCTAGCTCGTTAGCTCCTGTAGCTCCCGTAGCTTCTGTAGCTCGTTAGCTCCTGTAGCTTGTTAGCTCCTGTAGCTTATTAGCTCCTGTAGCTTCTGTAGCTCGTTACCTCCTGTAGCTCCTGTAGCTTCCATAGTTCCTGTAGCTTCTGTAGCTCCTGTAGCTTCTGTAGCTCGTTACCTCCTGTAGCTCCTGTAGCTTCCATAGTTCCTGTAGCTCCTTTAGCTCCTGTAGCTCCTGTAGTTCCTGTAGCTCCAGTAGCTTCTATAGCTCGTTAGCTCCTGTAGCTCCTGTAGCTTCTGTAGCTTCTCTAGCTCGTTAGCTCCTGTAGCTCCAGTAGCTTATATAGCTCGTTAGCTCCTGTAGCTCCTGTAGCTTATATAGCTCGTTAGCTCCTGTAGCTCCTGTAGCTTATATAGCTCGTTAGCTCCTGTAGCTCCTGTAGCTTATATAGCTCGTTAGCTCCTATAGCTTCTGTAGCTTGTTAACTTTGGTAGCTTCTGTAGCTCCTTTAGCTTTTGTAGCTTCTGTAGCTCATTAGCTCCTGTAGCTTCGGTAGCTTCTGTAGCTCCTTTAGCTTCTGTAGCTCTTGTAGCTCCTGTAGCTCCAGTAGCTTCTGTAGATCCTGTAGCTTCTGTAGCTCGTTAGCTCCTTTAGCTCCTATAGCTTCTGTAGCTCGTTAGCTTCTGTAGCTCCTGAAGCTGTAATCACTAAATTAAGTTAAAAATTAGTTCACAGTTCAGCAGCAATAAATAAGTTTTACTGATGAATAAAAAAGGTTTCAAACATCGACTGGATTCCTTTTCCTGACAAAAATTCACAAATACCAGCAAACAGAGAACATACATGTGTGAACAGAGAACATAAAGAGAACATACAGAGAACAGAGGGGGTGGTGGACTCATCTGAGGCTCTACTATGTGGAAACGCCCCACAAACCCACTCAGGACCTCCAGTCCTCCAGATCTCTGTTCTGATGGAGGACGCTGCCTCTCTGGACCAGGAGCCTTCTCTTTTCTTTGACCTTTGACCTCTGCACCTCAAAGCAGTTGCTATCCGACACTACTGTTTAAATCTAAAGGAAAACGCTTTCAGACGTTTGATCCAAACGGGCCA